AACTGGTGAAAAATTGAAGATTATGAGGTTTCCTGGTTACGAGAAGAGGGTAATCGAGAAGGCATGATTAATGGGACCAGTCAAAAATTAACTACCGCAGTTGAACATAGTCAGGAGTAATATTAAGATTGCATTCCTGGAACCCTATTGAGATCATGTTAGCTCATGATTCATGAAACTCGATCAGAAAGCAGCAGTTCCACTCAAATGAAATCGCTGTGATTTTTGTCTTGGAGTATTAATGGTTTCTCTGTTTTTGTTACAATTTGTTCTACGTGTTTAGCAACCAAGACGACGAACAGAATTATGGGATGGGTCGAGAAAGGGCAGCTGTTACTGCAGCGGAAAAAGGAAACCGGGGAAATGTGATTATTTCGATGTTCTTTGTTTTCAACTTTTTATTTTTATTATTTTGCTTTATTTCTTGACTACTAAGTTTTTCATCACACGAAAATGGTTTTGCGAGATTGCAGCGACTAAAAAGCCTTCAAAAGATTCTGTTAACCGAACAAACCTACGACTTTGGGTGGCGGCAAATATTAAATGAATCCTGACTGAACACTGGGGAGCACTAAGTAACGGCTTTAAGATTAATATAAATTCGCTGAAATTTGAAATTGAAAAACGGAAGGTATGAGAGTGGCAAGAGCGGAACAAGCGGTTTTGAATTGTGAAGGTAGGTCTTTAGGACAAGTTGTGGATATCCCCTTCGAATCATAAGGAACGGCTGGACATGACAGCCGGAGTTGTTCATTCAATATCGTACCTTCAGTGCAAGAAGAATAATCGAGGAAACGGGCAACCTTCCTCGCATCAGGATGAAGGATCATCAAATGGCATGCAAAAGTCAAGAGTCGCTTCTTCTCAAGGAGAGGAGTCCATAGTGTACGATTTCATGGGAGCATGAGGTTCGACGTCCACGAATTTTCCGTGAATCTGATATTGCGGCGCAACGATTTGAGAGGCCTTTTGGATCATGGCTAAGGCCTCTAAAATCAACCGAAGGCAAGAAAGTTGTGGCCGTTAGCACACAGCTGACGTTCTTTGCCGTACCTTCCGGCTTTTGGCCTAGACTGTCGATTCCCCAGGAGATCCTCTCGGCAGGCAGGATCGAGGCTTATACAAATGGATGAGGTGATAGGGTAAGGATCAGCCCCGCTCTCGACCTTGACCTGCTTCTGTGAAAGCTTGATCTAATTGGCCAGCCCTGACGGCCTCTAAGCAAACCCGACTCTATCTAAACCGCAGTTCCTCCAGCTCGGAGTGATGGTAGCCCGCACTGGTCGACTACAGCTTAGTTCACAAAACTTCTGTCTTCGTAATAGTAAGCCACGCTTCCTTTGAACTACCTGTGAAAGTTGCAATAGTGCTCGATGGGATGATTTCTTATTGGCTTTTGCCTTTTGCGGCTCCAAAAAGCTCAAAAAGCGAACGGAATGAAGTGTTGTTAAATCTCAGTCTGCGCAGCTAAGACTTGACAGCTGGCGCGTTGTTCATCATACACAGTAGCGCTCAAAAGTCTTCGGCCAAACGCCCTACGCTTTTTCTTTGTACTTTTTTCTTGGTGGATTAAATCGTGCAACTTTCAATATGTTCAACTAATCAACTAAAGCATATTGCAAAGTATCCAACACTATTTGACTGCAAAACCGCAATATCCACATAACTGAGAGCAAGATGTTTTTGCGGTAGCGGACTTCGCTGAATGCAAAGCTAGTGACGTCTACATAATTATTCGCACCTTATGTGCGTTTTTCTCATCTACTTGTTCGGCATCAATGCTCGCACACTTTAGACATAACAAAAAGGAAAGAATTTCGAGGAGGTCCACTATTCGTAGCAGTTCATTTTGAGTTCATGCACTTTGGATATCTGGAATTGATCAGAATGCAGGTCAAGTATGGAAAATAATCGCAATATACCCATGCTACACATATCGAAATTTCGGATGACTACATCCGGTTTAAATATAGTTATGACTGAAAAGTATGGCTAAAAAAGCATTAGGCGGAAGACTTTTGAGCGCTACTGTATGTCCATTCCTGCAGTGCCAGAGGCTAACATTCGCAAGGTCAGAAGGTAGCTTTGGCAACTCCAGGGCTCCACACCAAGCTATATGTTTGTTTTGTTTTACGAGCGTTTGCCTGAATGCTTTCTTTTTGTCGCTGATGCGCGCAGAGTTCCTGCGAAGAGACGTGTGGGTGATTCCGTGATTTCTCATATAGTTCCTCTGCTGAAGAGAATAGTTGAATTCGGGACCCATCTCATATACGGGATTGACTGACGCCCGAGACTTGTTAATTTGTTCCATTCGCAAGTTTTCGGGGGAGTCGTGGATATGAAGACCCTTCTTATTGCTCGACTATCTCTTACGCTCTATGAATCTAATTGGAAGTAAGGCTGTCAAAGAACACTCCTGTGTAGAGGGTCATGGAGGTGTTGGAGGAAAATATTGGTCTTGTTATTACTCTAGGCTTACGACTCAAATGTGAAGCGGAGCCGACGAAGGTAGTTCGTAGGCAGTGCATGCAAAACTTACGAGTCAGTAGTATGTCAGTTTATATTCGAGTTGAGCGGGAATACCATTCATTGGAAATATGGAATGATGAAATGGCGACAAATTAACTGATTTTTTTGTTCTTTCCTGCCTAGGCTCAAATTCAACAGAATATATATACATATATAAAAAAGATATATAAAACAGGAAAAAACAAATTTGATTCATGATGTACTTCAGAGCAGGAGGGAAAGTAATCAGGCTTCCATATCTCAACAAATTATTATTGGCTTGAATTATTGCACGAGTCTCGAATCTTAGGGATTCCCGCAAATAAACTCCCGGGAGAGGCGCGTATTGTCGAAAAGAAAGAATAGCGACGAATGATGTTCATCTCCCACTACCCTGTCATCAGATTTTTTTCAGGAAGACAATATAGAAGCTGTAGAAACTCGCCCTGGAACCAAGTCTATAATTTGGGCAATGGGGTACTTGACAATATACAAATTCACAGCACAGATTATTGATAAAGCAAACATGCACGAGTGCACGAATAATATATTATAAAAACAAATCATCGGTTGGCGATGCAGTTCAGGTATTCAAGGATATGGGTAATGCGGACGCGAATCACCACCAAATCGAACCTTGACTCTCATACTTATTTGGAAATTGATTCTTTTTCATATTTCTGACGGCATGTCGATTGACGTACTAAACACTAAACAATAAGCAATACTAATGATTTACTCAAAGTGTACAGACTCAAGAGAAATAACGTCGACCATTCATACAAAAGAAGACGAGTTGCTGGTGCATTAGTAACCTTGACAAATTACACAAACAAAGAGTTTACTACATTCACATGTTTTAGGAATGATCAACACGAAAAAAGAAATCTTTCTTCTGTGCAAACAGTTGGCGAAACCACCGTTAGGCTCACTGTCAAATCCTTGGAAAGAGGTGTTTGAGTAAAGAGGACGTCGTTCCTTCTTGAATATTTCATACAATCCTTCAATGTATATGGATGTGAATCTGAAACACCATCCTCGTTTTGGTTCTTTCGCCTATCTGGTGACTCTATTTTGCAATCCAGGGAAATTCGTGCAAGCATATCTAGTAACATCTTGCATCTTGCAGCTTCTCCTCCATTTATCACTTCAACAAGTTTGTATCAGGCTGTTTAACACTTTGTGCTCCTTTCTACATAAAGAGGGCCGAACGGATATGCCCAGCCTGTTCGCTTTCGTCTTTGGAGCAGAATTCACGTAGGAAGGGGAGTGCGTAGCTGTCCTTGGGGAATCGGAAATTTGTAGTCTCTTGTTGTGAACTTTTGAATTTATTGGGAAAAGGAGTTTAAGTAAGGAGGCTGTCTATTTTGCTTGTATACTCTCGTAAGCTTTACTTACGTAGCAGAATGTCGATCGAAGCTGCTGAATGTTCTCCCCCGTGGATTAGCATCGAGATACAACAAGAACAATCCTGCTGCCTTTTCAGAGATAACCACAATTTGGATTCCGAAGGGTAACGGTCAGAATAAGTTTGCAACCATCACAAATTGATCCCCTCACATTCTCTTCAAAAGATAGTTCGAGAGTCTCCAGGTCCATCTCTTATGCACATTCTCTCAGCTTTGAGCAGGAAATAATTTGCTCACTTGAGGCCTATAGAAATTAGAAATACCGCATATCGAGCTTTAGCTCAACATGCGGTTTTTCTGATTTCTGTGAGCCTTAAGTGAGCAAGTTATTTATTTCTGTTGTTTATTAACTCCAAACGGAAGAGAAATTAAACATTGAACACAACACGCTTTCATACATAAGCTCGCGCTTTTCCGCGTCTTCGGGCTAGAAACCATTCCGCTCATAGTATTCGCACTTCCTAGTTGCTATTGCCAAGTTCCATCATTTTGCATTATATATTCTCTGCTGCTGTCCGTTGAACATTGAAATCTTACATACTCTCAGCGTGAACTTTTATGACTGGTTCCTGAGCTCTTTGCATGGATCTCTTCCAGTTTACTTTCTGTAATGACTCTTGACTTCGAATTGTAAATTGGTTCCAGATTGTGAAATCATTCAGTGAACCACCTCATCCAGGTCAACCAGCGTTTCTCGAGCAATTTTTTACTACGTGGTGAATTGAGATTTGTTAAGCTATGATCCAATGCTATCTTTCTATGACGAAAAGAAAACACTATTAAATTAACAGTGTTCCGTAGCAGTGCCTCAAGAGTGCAATTGCTTCAAGCAAATCTTCAATGTTTTCAAACCATTTCATGCAGTGTTGATGCTGAAGGAAATATCACTGCTTGCTCAAGGCTTTTATGCTATTGTTTTCATTCACTCCTACATTTGATCCCAATGATCCCCCTTTTTTTGCAATAAAAAACTTTTTGAACGGCAACGTATGAACAAATGCACAGAGAAGCAAAACGAGTTTATTCGGCAAACGAAAGTAGTAGAAGCAAGGAAGGCCACAGTAGAATAAGAGTGCTATTCTCATGCTGGATACACGCTCTCTGCCAGTGGGCAGCTATCGTTAAATACATCTCTTTTCAAGTTGTAAAATTCATAACCGGGAGTATCGCGAGCATATGTTGCTTCTTCCGATGTCTTGTAAAAAGAGCAATGCTGAAAGCGGTGATTTAGCCCAGACATTTGAAAAGTCAAAATAATTAAAGCATTAGCTTCAGAGCCTTACTGTTTCTGAGAAATGGTTCAACAATACACATCGTTCACTATAGTGTAACGTTATGGTACAATGGCTATGCTGTGATCGAGTTTACACCTATCAGACACTTGCTGAAGCTGCCTTCCGTGGTTCCACAGCAGTTTCAGAAGTATGTATCGCCATGGACACGTCACCTGAGAGACTTTTGGGGTGCGACTCAAAGGAACTTGGTAAAATGGTGAGGGGGGAGGGGAGAGAATAGTTACCTTTCAACATATTTCCTCACTTTAACATGCTGCACTTCATTTTGAGCCAGAAAACTTTCACTCATCTCGTGCAGATGTTGATACTGAGAAATCCTTGCTGCTTATGTTTTAGTACAAGAGGTTCTAGAGAAAACGTTTTTGTAACTAGCTCTCTTTATCAAATGAAAGTATATAACATCCTCACTTGTTCGCCGTAAAAACTCAGGTAGCTGGAGCGGAGGTACGAATCATTTCGAAAAGCAAGTTACTATCCACCAAATAATGTGTTAAAAGATTTTATAAAAATACACAGGTAGTTGCTAAGGTAGAGCAATATTTTCCAATTAGCTGCATGCCTGCCCGTTGACAAACGCTCTATGTATATAATTTCCTCGCTGCATAATTGGGAAAACTTGCCTCTGTTCCTGCCTTTCTTATGATGCCGACTTGAACGCACGCTGGGATTTCCTCAACGCACTTCTTCAGACAGGCGCCAGTACTGCTCAAATTCTCCTTCTTTATGAGAGAGAGATAAAAATAATATGGTTCCGTATGAAAGGGAGCTTGCTCGAATGTGCAGAAACGCATCTGATCCACCTAAAAGGGATCAATTCTGAGGTATTTTAACAGCGTTTTGTAACATTAAAAGCGATTTGATTAAATCACGACCTTCGGTCGTAGACGGAGATGAGAGATTGATGTGGAGTAGTACTCGCTGCTGATCAAAATTTTGTATCGAAATCAAAAGCATCTCAACAAATGGGATGAGCAAATTCCGAATACTCTACCATCGTTTACAGCACTCGAATCGACGTACGATTAGCATTCGGTAATTATATTAATAATATAAAAAAAGACCCAGGTGAATGTGGTAATCACAGTAATTAGCGCTCATTCTGAAGTACAAGGGACAATGATAGTTAGATCGGAAAGTTAAAAAAGTATAAAACTGCTGCATTTTTGAACTTCACGCACCGGCCCCTCTCTTCTGTTTGCCATGTGAGTAAGATGTGCCGAGTTGATGTTCACTAAGGGGCCCTCCTTCCTCCCCCTCCCTGCTGGAGTCAACATGACGATCCAGTCACATTGTATCCCTTGGCCTTCAATAGCCAGTGAACCTATAGCATTACGCTCGCTCTGGAAAAATTTCGCACCGTATGATTCGAATACTTGCCCTTCTGGATAACGGAATAACTACTTGAGCTCGTTCCTAGACTTCACGTGCCATCAGAAACCATAAATTTTCTGTCTGTCACTACTATCTTCATTTGTCACCATTGTATTATTTGCCACTATTAACATTCATCTGTCTTCCGTTTGTGATTTGCTCAAGCGAACACCAATAACGTCTCCACTCGATCTTGTTGAAAGCCAGAATGATCTACCTGACCGTCTTCACTCGAGGAACCCGAGGCATCGCATTCTTTCCTTAAGGCTTTTGCGAAGGAGATTGACCATCGTGTGGCTGCTGTCCCAGCGTTCGTTCGGCATCTCGAGAGGTTCATCCAGTAACAGCCGTGGTCCAACAGTCATCACAAATCCGCATAACGCACTGGTCCACCTGATCTTCGATTACATGGCGTAAGGAACAGCGTCCCTGATCCTCGTACTTTGACAGAGCTCAGAACTCCGGATTCGCTCTTGCACCGTGTGTAGGGTAAATCCGAGCACCTAACTTTCCCCTGCGCGTATGACGCTGACTGCATGCTGTCCTACTTTCGTAAAGTCCAATTCGCCGAGGCGTATTCAAAGCAGGAAGGGCAACGATGTCGAAAAGGTGAGCGCGGAGCGGGATGAAAAGGAGCACCAAGTACCGTTCCGTTTCTCATTGTTATTGTCCTGAACATCGTCTTTGCTAGGTTCACGCAGCCCCCCAGACACTGTTAAATTGAAGCAGCATTCGTATCGTCTGCTCAGTGTTCGGTGTTATGAATTCTGTGACTGCTGCAGCTTACGGATGATATAAGTAGCGGCAGTCGAACACTACTCTTGGGTCTTCCCTTCACAAACGACGCGAAATGTTTTCAAAAGCGGCACTGTAAAGATGAAGCGAATGGCAGCGACCTGCTCAAAACCTCTTTTCACTTTGACACCGGAATCCTTGTCCTCTTCTTCTTCTCCCTTGCGTTAATCCCTCGCCGTCGCAGGTCCGCTATTCTTGTCAACCGTCTCCATTTCTGTCGATCCACCGCATCTTCTGCCGTTATTTTAGCTTCGGCGAGGTCCTTCTTGATTACGTCTAGCTATCTCTTCTTTGGGGCCCCTGGCTCTTCATTTCTGATGCGATCCAGTCGGGTCCAACTCCCACCGGCCAACACTCGCTGCCGTAAAGCATCGTGAGTTTCAGCACTGTGCGATACACCTTTCCTTTGATAGTTTTGGAGCACCGACGGTCGCAGAGGGTACAGGAGGACTCCCTCCAATTCATCCATGCCGCCTTCCTTCGGGCTTTTACAGCCTGGTCCACGCTACCATCAGCGACTAGATCGCTCCCAGGTATCGGAAGTCCTGTATCATTCTGAAGTCTTCCCCGTAACCGTCGATGATTGGCTTCGTGGCCTCCTCGGAGCTCAGGAAATTGGTCTTCCTCACGTTCAGCCGGAGTCCATTTTCCACGTGCACTTTCTGTCATTTCTGGAGCTCGTCCTGGAGTTCTTCCTTGCTCTTCGCCATCGGAGCGATGTCATCGGCGTAGAGGATAATCTTAAGTGGCCCATCTATGAGTCTTCTGTGACGACGTCCTTCGTGAGAAGGAAGAGGAACTGGCTCAGAGCTGATATCTGGTGGACCCCAACGGTGACATCTATTGCTCCGGTTTTTCCGTGTAGGGTGCGTATTGTTGTCGTGGAACCATAATACATGTTCTTGACCAAAGAAGTCATAAGTTCGGGAACGTTTCGTTTTCGGAGCGCTCTCCAGAGTACTTGTCGCTGGAAACGGTCAAATGCCTTCTCCAAATCGAGGAAGGTTAGATAGCAGGGTCTACGCTTTTCTCTATAGTTTTCCATAACTTGCCTGGCTATGAGGATGACATCCGTTGTAGATCTTTCAGGCATGAAGCCGAACTGCTCCTGTGAGTTCGGGACCAAATCTCTCAATATTGAGTCGACCAGCCGCTCGTACAGTTTCATCGCATGAGCTATCAACTTGATCCCCCGGTAGTTGGAACACTCCATCGCGTCACCCTTTTGTATGTAGATGGGACGATAGTACTGCTCTCTACGCCTGGGATTCGTCCTTCAGTGGTCACTGTGTTCAAAAACCGGGCGAGCCACCTTACAATATGCTCTCCGAGCGACTTCCATGACTCGATTGGTAACCCACCCGGACCAGTTGCCTTTCCAACCCCCATCTTTCTCATTGTTCTACGCGCCTTATACCTCTGTCCTAAATTCGATGGGGCCAGCCGTTGCCTCCTTGAGAGCTCTCCATGCGGGGGAGTCTTTCGTTCATGAGCCTATCGAAGTATTCCTTCCACCTACGCCTGACCTCACCAGGCTTCCTTAGAGTGGCATCCTCGCTGTTCCTAACGGACTTCACTACCCTGGTGCCTTGAGTAGCCCGGTGACGCGCTCCCGCCAGCCGCAAGGGGAACTTTTCTCCCTCTCGTCCCTGGAGTCTCTCATACAAAGCATCCATACCCGTATGCTTTGCCTTCGCTACAGCAGCCTTGGCGACCCTATTGGAATCTGTTGAGCACGTCATCAACTATTACGCTCAAGTCATCGTTACACTGCACAAACTAAATCAGCAGCTTCATTGAGCACTGTCCGGCTGAAGTTGAACTTGATATAGAGAAGAGTCAAGAATCTTCAGAGCTGTTTTGTATGGGCGCCAAAACAGGAAATGTATCGAAAGCAGTGGGTCTTGGCTTCGAAAAATTTGATCTTGCTTCGGGTTGAAAAACGTGGTGCTTAATAGCATGAGTTGTGCTGTTCGTTGGAGGTGGTTAAGGGCTAGTTAGCTATCGCACCCACCTTATCCGGAGATCGAGCTCTAGATTGACAATAACCTAGACAAAGCAAAACCCTCCATCACTAAGCGTCGATTGAGTGGTACCAAATTGAATGGTCTGAAAAAATGGAACTACTGATTTGTACAGTCGTTGGCCACCGTAACACAGTGTATAGTTCACATACGCATTCGAATGTCGTTACCGTTCCTATCCCGGAAGGAAAAGACCATTGGGCGGCAGTGCTCTGATGAGTTAGCCTTCTCTTATAATATGTTCAGAACTCCGCTTCAACTTTTTTGGCCCCTTCAATTGCCACGGATTTGAGAGTCACCTCGAAGACTGCTCCACAATGAAATGGATAACATCACCTCTATTCAAAATTTTCTGGGGTTTTTGCTCTGGTAAACTGTTCTGCTGTAATCTATTTTGATCGAGCTCTTTAGCTATTGATAGCAACATTAGGCTGAGATCAGTAAACATTTTCCATTCAGCGTGCTCGCATATACTGTGAATACACCAGCATCCTTCTATGGCTTAAGAGTGGAAACTTCTCGATATTTTCAGTGCCTTTTCTCTGCACTGCGTGCACACGAGCATATTCATAATGATCATACATACCTGTAAAAGGATGAGAAAAGTCGCAAGTGGTGAGACTAGGCTTTGACGAAGGAACGTCATCTCAAAGGTGATGAGCACTTCCAGAAATCTGAATGTTCACTGTAGGTTTCTAAAGATGAATCGTTTATGCAGAGGTTTCTAGTGTACTATCAGCCTCTACCAAGTAAATGATAAAAAATATTTGTGGGTAATTACAAGGCTGATGAGCAGGAATCAAGACAACGGTAATTGCGTCATCGGATAGCCCTTCACCCTCCCGTGAAACTGAATTATTTACTCATTCATTTGATGCCCTCGAATGGCGATCTACAACATAACACAGTTGCAGGGTATTTGATTGTTGCAATATTTTTAAAAAACTGTAATAGATGGAGTAATAGTGAGGCAAAAGTCCCGAGGAATGGCGTGGTTCATCGAGAAACTTGCAGAGTAATCCAGTTAACAGTCTGAGTTAACATATCTATCACTTTGCCTTCTTCGGAGCCTACAGAGGGGATGCGCGAAAGTTATGCACTGCAGCATATTATAAACTTACCTCACAGCCTTCTTCCACAGAAGCTGCTTTATGAAGTGATGTTTGAGGCGGGGTCGGGGTTTCGATGGTGAGTAGCAAATGGAGGCGGTCCTTGCCATTACAGTATACTTCTACTTTTGCTGGTTTAGTTGTGCTTGCCTAATAGAGAGAAATTGCTAGAAAGTCGGTGATGGACATCAACTTTAACTGAGAGCTAATTTAGGTATTGTAGTTTTCCGTGGTAATGGGAAGACTGATAATCGAAGAGAGATGATCAATTATTGAGGTGTTTTACAAAAGAAAGCAATGAGATCTTGTTTAGCTGAAGCTCCAGTAAACCATGGTCAGCGATCATGTGACTGCTTCCTCAGTTACTCATTAGAATCATGGCGCTTATTAAATGGCAACATTTCCAAATAAATAATTAATTAAGATGTTGCTTCGTCTGTTTACACAGTTCTTGTTGAATTTTTCTCCTCGTTGATTGCAACTACATAACATGAAGTGCCCAATTTTAGGATGCATGCGGGATAAGGGTTGTATATACTACGCTTAACTCTTCTTATGCTACTGAAGTCATGCCGAGAACCTCCAAACTTTTTATACTTCTATCAAGCCAATCACGTTTATACTTCCATCAATCACCCATCAGCCATCACCTATTCCACCTAGGTCGAAAGGCTGTGCAAACTGTTGGAATTACAGATAAGTTGAATGTTCCACAAGAAGCACAGAAGCATTAGAAACCTATTACTCAAAATTTTCAAGTTATCGTTTTGTTATCTTTTATTTTATTTTTGACTTTTGACTATACAATTATAAAAGCACAACAGCCTAAGACCTGATCAAGCAATGAAAAGCACTGGAAATTGGGATAATTTTAATAATAAAAAATGTTGTCAAGTAACAAAATAGCAAGTTATTTCAATTTCATACTTGGTTATTTTATTAATTTATTATTTTCATACGACTAAACGACATGCCAACTCAAACGTGGGCANAGTAAATTCACGAAAACATAGCCGGAAAAAGAAGAGGTGAAAGGAAACCTTCAGTGAAATAGACCTGCACTTAATGTCCTACAGATCTATTTTACTGAAGGCTTCCTTCCACTGCAGGATTTCTACATAGCCAGATGGTGAGAGGCTATTTGGGTTCGCCTTAAATGAATATGGTCCTTATCCATATACAGGGATAACCTGCTTAGCAGTCTTACCAGCCCAATGTCAAAACCTAACATGGTACGCGTGTGTTCAAAAAGGCATATAAATGGATTTCAGATCCCTGAACTCCCAATAATACAGCGTTGGGTAAGACCGTTCGTGAAAGGCCGACTTGAAACCTGCAATAGCAGAGGCTACCGTGGTAAAGGTGAGGGGGGATCTGGTTAGCACGCGCTTGGCTGCGAGCATCGTACGAAAGCTTGACAGTCTGAATCGAAGATTTACAAGTGGAAAGGTGAAGCTCAACGCAAGCTCTGTAAATCCTTGCTGTCTTCGTACCATGAAGAGAAGGTATAAGTGTTTTAATGGACCTGGAAGAGATCCACAGAAGAGACCATATTTCCTTAAAAGTTGTTGTCAGTGAGTTTGACATCAAGATCGGTCCCGTAATAACGACTGAGTGGCCTCGAATCCGGACGGAATAAAATTAGGAGAGTAAATTTTTTCTGTTAAGTTAATCAATCTTGCTGAAGGATGTGCCCTCCCATTCGACTCTTACTCAGAATCGTAGTGAGTATTGAGAGCGAATGTGGCCCTTAAAATGGCCCGCAGTGCCCATCCAATGTGAGAGTCATTGCTTTTATCTTCCCAGACCAGTCTGGTACCAATACCGGAGGGGATAAGGTCTGATTAGCCTAAGCGGATGCCGATCCGGATTTGATCCCGTGACCATCTGTGGTAAATAGTGCTCTACTTGCCTCTACTTCACCTCCGCCTCCTCGGAATAAAATCACTAGGGCGAAAGGCTGTACGAGTCTATTATGACGACCCACACCATACAACGGTGATTCGTAATCCCAGATGCCCTCCCAATTGCTACGGGATAGGGAGCCGCCTGGTGGACAGACCAATAATGACATGGATCACAGATTCGACTTCATCTTCAATCGGAGAATTCGCATGGCTGTTGTTCTGAAGTTTGACACGGCGGTGAAGATCACCATTCTCCACAGGAACCAAATAAAAAAGTTTGAGGTCTGCTGGTTGTACGAAGAGCGGTAATTTTGGGGCATGGCTCATGAGTCAATTTTCTGAAGAGAAGCACCGAGATTTCTCATAGTCAGAGTTTAGATTCACCACCGTCGAAGATGTCAAGACAAAAGCTCAGCAGTGCACGATCTCGAAAACTTACCTTTGCACCCTCTTTCATGTGAAAATCGCCTCATGGATTGGCGGAAAAGCGAGAAAAAGAGCATTTGTGGTTAATGGCAAGTCTCTTCGAAGTAAGATGATTTTCGCGTTTTCAATTTAATTCGAATCTGTTTCCTCGCACACGTGGATTTTGCCTCTTGACGCAAAGTGGTTACTAGGATCTCAGTGATGAATGGCCATCAGTTCTAATTGAGAACAAATTGGAGTTACCAAGTTTCCCTGGTTACGAAAAGAGAGAACGGGAAGGTACGATTATTGGGAATAATTCCTGAAGGGAAGCATCGAGATCTCTACATTCAAGGCTCATATTGACCACAATCGAAGATAGGCAGGAGCGATCATAGATTGCATTCTTGAATCCCTGTTGAGATCATGCTAAACCTTCGTGGTGCTCGCTTAAAAGGTAGTGCTATATCCGAATGAAATCGTGATTTTTGCCATTAAACATATGAATGGTTCCTCAGTTTTCCTTGAAATTTCTTCGATGGACATTGAACAATGAAGAGCATGAGTAATGGCTCTGGAATTGAAGCAGTCTTTCGTTCTATAATACTTACTGGCTTCGGCTATATGAGCTTTTCGGATCTTAGCGATCCTTATGGGGGCCATTGATAATCCCCATTCCAGCAGTGAATGTGGAAATTCGATTTTGATAGCAGCCTTTAAAGCACCGATAGCCATCGATGAATAGCAACACTACAAATGCTACACCGCGAAAAGATTAGCTCGGGCTGAGTCAATGAACACCTTTAAAACAAATTACAGCGATTTTCGAGAGTGCACTACAGTATTATATTATATGGCCCAATTCCTAACCGACTAGTCATTGGCCGCGACTGTAATTAAAAGACAGTATTCAAGATCCCAGTTGATGGGGCGTATGGGAAATCATCAACTAATTTCTCACGGTTTGNCGATGAATAGCAACACTACAAATGCTACACCGCGAAAAGATTAGCTCGGGCTGAGTCAATGAACACCTTTAAAACAAATTGCAGCGACTTTCGGGAGTACACTACAGTATTATATTATATGGCCCAATTCCTAACTGACTGGTCATTGGGCACGACTGTAATTGAAAGGCAGTATTTGAGATCCCAGTTCATGGGGCGTTATTCCGGGAAACCATCAACTGATTTCTCACGGTTTGCGAAATTTAGGAGCATGTGAATTCATCGAATTACAGCTGGAAAATAGCTAAATCTCTGGTAGTAGACCACTCAAGATCGTAACCATTCAAACCAGCCTTGTTATTACAACTCCGATATTAGGCTGCAGTCGAAAAGCAATATTTTTCGATATCATACACTAAATACCAGAGTTGCGATAAAGGCTGATTTGGGTGGTTACGATCTTTACACTGTTCTAACGGAAAAAATGAATTTCCCTAGTCAGTGGAGGTAAGTCTGAAGTGCAGATCTTATTGCAGTCTTAGTCATTAGCGAACCACACGACGGTCAAGTCTAAGCACTACATTACACTTGATTGGAATTGAAGAAGGGCTCGAAAGCATTAACGTCTTGGATGTGAACCTGCCCTCAGGGTTACAATGAGAGTTATATTTTCTGTCCCGAGGTCCCATAAAGAATTTTGAAGTTGTAATATATCTTGCTCTTGTGCTCGCTCAAAATCACCAAGAGATTCAGTAGATTCATCTACTCTGCCCATTCCAACTTATGTTTTTGCTTCTCTAGTCTTCGTTCGTTGACAACTGGGGATATCTGATATATTTTTTGTGCTCAAATGGGACAACGCAGTATAGCGATGAGTGATTCTGTTTGTATTGGAAACGTGTATCGTATTAATACATCCTTCTTCACGGAGCACCGTTTTTTTGCTTGGAACTCAACTATCGATTTATCGCTCTTATCATTTACTTATATTAATAACGATAAACACTGTTGCTATTGTGCTGCATGTTCTATGTTAGATTCTGCAGCTGTTCAAGAAGCTACAACCTAAAGGGTTCTACTGCTCGCGTACTAATGCAAACAGCGCGTCCGTGCGACAGCTCACTGGATCACAAACTCATCGGTCAGTGAAATCCGTTTTATTTAAAAGGAAGGATTGGCAAGATTTGAAAAAAAGTACTGTCAGAGCATAGACGATAGCTGAAAAAGGGAGGACAAGGAACAGGTCGCATTACCAGTCTTACAATTAGGTCGTAGTACGAGCAATAGTGAATTCTACCTAGGGCGTGCTGATGTAAGGTAGTTCCTGAACTTGTTAGGTCACGGTCTGCGCAATATTTGAATTGACTTGGTGTTGCAGCTTTCTGCTTCTTTTAAACCGTGAAGCAACTACTCAGGACAAGATCTCTCCAAAAGGAGGGGAAAGAGGGAAAGAAGAAAGTTTAACATTAGCAACCAGCACATTAAACGTTTCGCTCTTCTCAGAGACAGTTTGCTCATTTAGGCATTGTGTATCATCAAGTGAAATCTGTTTAATCAATCCCGTCTAAGGGGTGCGCCCCGCATTCGACTTCCATTTGGAATCGTAGTGGCGTAATGAGTGCGTATGTGGCTTATACAATGACTTGCGGTGGCCAGCCGATGTACAAGTCAGTGCTTCTATCCTCCCAGACGAGCCTGGTACCGATCAACCGACCCCGGAGGGATGGAACGCTTGGTTGGCCCAGGCTGATATCGATCAGGGACTCGAACCCGCGACCGTGTGTGTGATAGTGCCCCACTTGTCACTACACCACCTTCACCCACCAAAAGACTATAGAGATTTTTATTGGCGATCAATGAGCTTATTTCTCTTATGTCTGATGGTTTTGAAGCTGGAATGTGGTTAGAGGAGTTTTTTGAAGCTCTCTGGTTATAGTCAGTGATCTGGTAGTTTGTAGCTCGATGACCTACCGTTTCAATGCCGACCAGGCCCCTTAACTCCCGCGAATGCATTTGTACACGCGCTCAGCCCGTGGTGCTCTGATCCCTTCGCCTTTGATATGTGTTTTTCACGAATTATGATACCCCTTGGGAAAAAGATATTTCTATTTAAGTCTGTCTGACATCATTTTTTTGCATTCATTGGTCAGTTGCTTTGATATTCACTCGATTGTTTGCCTAATACTTCACCATAGAATGTTAAAAGCTTGTTCCTCAGAAATACGAGCACATTCGCCTTGAGTGGATTACGATCAGCATTGAAGTTGACGTTTAGAATTGGTTTTGACGAGAACCCGTTTCATTTAAATCACTGGCAGGTACAAATTGGAGAATCAAATTGATTAAAAAGTAATCAAAAACTAAGAATAAGGTTCACCGACTTATTCATCCAGTTACCTTACTGTAACATATACTGATTCAGAATTCACTGACATTGTTGCTTGGTAGGGACGCTTGAAACCGGTAGGGCATGAGCCGTAGCCACGACGCTCATGTGTGGTGCAATGTTTCAAATCCAGTCTGGCTCAACTTTTCTTCTTTTTCATCTCTTTGCTCTCTACTGTCTACTGTTAGGGGTGCCGTACAGTCTTTGTCCTAGTTCCTTATTCAAACGGGGAACATAACGTTGAGTGCCACTAAATTCTTCTCATTCAAATTTTTTTGGACATTGAGATGGTCAAGATGATGCGTCCATAGCGATCAATATCTTTCCTTTTCCCAGATATTCTGACCCAAGCTTCGGTTGAGCCTGCTATGCCCTGTATCGAACATGCCCATTGAAGCTTAATGACCCACTGATGATCATCATCGAGGATTTCAAGATGAGCTTTTGCTATTGAAGATTTTCTCAGGCAGTCGGTTGAGCGAAATTTGTGGGATAGGAAGTACAGGGAAGTCATTTCCTAACCGAGTATCACAAGGAAAGCCGTTAACATCTTGGCAAGAGGTTTCGGCTGTTCGTTGCCCTTTTGGTTACCTGAAGTGGGAAATTGCTCTAGCTCGTCCTACTCCACTGTTTTGGTCCATCAGGCCATTCCTCTACTTGTTGTCTTACCCTGGAGCTGTCGAGTACTCATCTCTGACTTTCACAAGCTATTGTGAAGATTAAGTTGGTTTTCAATAGTTATCGAGACATTGAAAGGAATTTTGAGAGTAACATAGTCATGAGCATTCAAAATGAAGGGGAAATAGGTCAGAAATATGCCAGTCCACTAGATCAACAGGTCAACCGAAAAAGTGATTTCTCTTCCGTGAGAATTCATAACCCTCTTCATCTATATGGGTGACGCTTTTTCACTATCAAAGTTTGATACCAGAATTCAGAGTTTTCTAAGTACCGAATGTCCCCCTTCAGCTGAAAGACTGTGTAAGAATAGTACTGCGCAGCGAAGACGTTCCCGATGGTTCTTGGGTGATTTTCGTGCATAAGGGTTGACCGATGGTCATAGGCACGCAAAGGAGTAGACAGGTAATGACCAGTGATTCAGTTAACGGTTACGTTAGCTGTGTAATCCGGAATTCAGCCTTATTCATGGCATAGGCTATGTAGATGAAGCTTAGGCCACCTCATCGACCATCCAGGTTTGATTTTTCTAACTCATTACTGTGAATACCTCATACCTACTTAAATTGTGATTGTATAGGTTTTACAATACTATTTGTAAGACGTTCAACCACTGAATTGGTTAAGCTTTAGCCATAGTGAGCAGAATTGACTGCCTTCATCAGAAAGTATTTATCATGCTTCTCACCCGGTTGCATGCGAATGGAGAGTCGTTTACTGGAGTACTAGACTTGTGAATCATGATCTGCATGTACCTTCCAGTGATGGATTCACTACGGTCATGGGTTGCTAACGAAGACAATCTGACACGGATCGCTGAAGGCAAAACAAAAGTGATATACAAAATCAAAGAGAAAGAGGTAAAAACTAATTTCTCCATAGCATAACTTTTATTATCAAAAGATTTTTGATCAAGTTTCGTTACTAGAAAAGCTCGGTTTTCAGTAGTTTTATCTCATAGCTATGTAGCTGCAAGGGCGCACTATCACATACGCATGGTCAATGGATCGAATCCTGATCCGACCCCCTAGCCAAACGAGCCTTCCATCTCTGAAGGGTCGTTAATTGATACCATTGGATAAAATCACTGTCCAGTACACAGGCTGGCCTCTTCAGGCCATTGTATTGACCAAATACGCATTCCTAATGCCGCTAGGATCCTGAGTCAAAGCCGAAAGCAAGGTAGCATCCAAGCATCGAATGATTGACGCTAAGAACGTTATATTTTACTTTCTATCGTTTCACTTGTGGTGCAATAATCGATTTGCGCAGGCACGATAAAGACAAGCATCGATTTTACGCGCGTATGACTGTAACCCTATGCCACATACTTCACTTCATACAATGAGACATAAGGCTCAGAGAGTGCTTGAAAGCGGTGGTCGAGCAAAGCTTGGAGTGGGGTACCATTACGAGACCAGGGACCGTCACCACTGCGGTAATGCCCCAAAAGTGAGATGGAGGGCGAAGGGGCTCAGAGCGAGGTTGGTTCAATCAGCTGATTTTGCGATTACGGGTTCACTGAACTCGAAACAGTCTTTTGTGATCACGGTTTCGGTCTTCTTGCACCACGGAAGCGATTCGGATACATTTCTCATTGTCGGACTAATTTTCTTCATATTTTCAGGACTATGTGCTGATACGTTCAAAAGACCAGTTGACTGCCTTCAATGCGGCTCGCAAAAATGTTCTGGAAGGAAAGGCACAAATCGCGAACAGAACGACCGTCAACGTTTTCAAACTGCTGACGGATATTGGTGAGACCCTTTTTGATTCTGTAATTTCTCAAATTCGATCACTTAAACTTTTTAGGAGTTCCGAGTCACTTTGTCACTGGAGTAAGCGGTAGTGAATTTATTGCGAAGCACTGCGAGATGATTCCCATCGAGTGGGTGGCAAGGCGTATAGCGACTGGATCATTTCTCAAGCGGAACCCCGGCGTTCCACAGGGATATCGATTCGACGAACCAAAGATTGAGACGTTCTTCAAGGTAATAAAAGGAATTTTGATTGGTACTACGCTTATGGAATTCGTTGTAGGATGACGCCAATGATGATCCACAGTACTCCGACGAGCAGATCTTGTGTTCTAACTTCGAGTTCAATGGAGTGAAAATAGGAAAGACCGAGGTTCGCTCTTATGCATTCATACTCCACATAAAGCTGACAAGTTTATAAAACATGCCTTCGAAAATTCTCTTCACCGAATCATTTACGAGCACGTTTAAGCTACACAGCGAATGTGTACAACACTGCGACAGTCTTATAAACCATAGCACATTTATGCAACTGCGAGATCGGAGAAGCAATAACTTGATTGATGCAAATCTACAGCGAGGTTGATAGGTTGATAGGATCGTTCTGCCCCATGGATTTCGCCCAAAGAAATAATACAAAGTCAACATTGCTTGGTAGAGAACAGAATTACAATCCGGTCCAGCTTTGTAACACAGGAGTAGTATTGAGCGGCATCGCTACTTTACGTATGGCTCAGGGCTCAAATCTTGGACCAATATTCGGTGGCTCGAACAGAAGAGAGTCTCTTTCATAGGGCCTTCAGTTATCACCCCGATCCTAAACAAAAAATGCGGCAAGGATAAAGCTAGCATTCATTCATTGAGTCTGTATTCTGAGCTTTCCTATAAGAACAGCCTCGCAAAAGCGCCCGCACGGCACTGAGCCTTTTTCCCGTTGATGAGTCCTAGTGAGTACTGCAGAGGACTGATGGATATCTAGAGCTGCAATTGAATTTTGGATCGCTTTTGAGATTAGGCACTTGGAAGAGACCTGTTTTGCCGAGCAGTGGATATTGTAACCTACAGTAGAACGTGGTCTAGAAAGCTGACACATCCCATAATTACTGAATGAAACAGCACGAACCTACCTTCGAGTCTTTTCAACATCCTTTTTGGGCAGCAATTTGGCAACGCCACGTGTCCGCTCATGAAAAGTCGAAGTTTCTTCCTCATAGTAACCTGCAGAATCTGATTTAGAAGTGCCTACAGCAATATAATGACTTGCGCTTCATCTTCTCTAGCAACAAGTAGGTTTGATGAGTTAGAAATGTTAGGCATGGTTGACACGAGAATTCGAACTTACGTGGTGATCACTCAAATGTCCCACAACATTTCTAGGTTTTGCCTTCTCAACTTCTTGCATTTACGCACCTGACATGTTTTTATTTTCAGATTAACTTGATGAAGCGCATGACATCGGTGATTTTTAAAGTGCTGGAGCGGTGCTGGGGGAAACATTGCTGTTCTTTGGTCGATATGAAGGTGAATCGAAGCACTTTTTCCCCCGACTTTCTCAAAAGTATCTAAGTCCATGGCTCCATATTTCTATCGCTAGTACAGTGGGGTGTGCAAACTACAGTCCAGTCAGCGAAAGTAGTGTTATATGCCTAACCCATCTGCCATGGACTTAGATACTTTTGAGAAAGTCGGGGGAAATCCATCTTCTCTGGCTCTAAAGAGCCACAAATCCTATAGAAGGAAGTATGGTAACTCATTTACCATTTCTACTTATGTTTTGAGAAAGTTTAGCTTATAATTTAGAGCTCTAGTGTGTAGTATTTTCGGACATTGAAAATTTAAATGGTAAGCAAACCATGTTAAATGAGTGATTAAAGGAACGAGTTGGATGAATTGATCAATACTGAGAGAAATGAACTTAGTTAGTCTCCTCTGTCAATACCTGCCAAGTTTTAGAGACATCATTTTACCACATTCTATTATCCTTCCATTTCGAATGCAGAATATGAAACGGCCAGAAGAAAGCCAATCTTTCAGATCTACAGTGTAAATCTCACAAAGATTCTCCCTAACAATTATGCAGACAGCCATTGAACTGATTTGACTGCGTGTTAAATGCATGAAAAAGTTTAAAGCAGTGACTAGCGTTTTTAGCTTCGTTGCTATAGCTGAGCCTTTTCTATCAAGTTACGACATCATCAGCATCTGCAACTAACGTATGTACCGGGCCTGGTGAAATAGCAAGCAGAACTCTTGCTCTTTCAGGTTGAGTACGGTGTCACTACTAAAGGTGAAATCGTACTTGCTGACGTTATCGATAACGACTCGTGGAGAGTTTGGCCACTTGGCAATCGTGGCCTTCAGTTGGACAAGCAATTTTACAGGTACTCTCACAAACCCTCCTGCTTCTGATTCTCGAATATTCGTTTGTGTTGGATTCCAACAGTCTGGCGAGATTTGCACGGTGGTCATGGGCCCCTTTCGGGTTTACAAATTTGGCCTGAGAGTCAGTATTCTTAGTTCATTATGCTGATGGGATCCCAATCTTAATATGTAAAAGTTTTCTTAGCAAATGTAGCATGTAAATGTTTTGCTATGAANTGGATTCCAACAGTCTGGCGAAATTTGCACGGTGGTCACGGGCCTCTTTCGGGTTTACAAATTTGGCCTGAGAGTCAATACTATTAGTTCATTATGCTGATGGAATTCCAATCTTAATATGTAAAAGTTTTCTTAGCAAATGTAGCATGTAAATGTTTTGCTATGAAGCATATACGAGATCTCCCTCAAACACATTCACAGTTTACTTTCGAGAAGTTTATGGTACCTCGATGGCTTCACTATTCCTTACAGAACACTGCTACTTTAGAGATATGAAGGAGGTGACACCGGAAGGGTTGCAACAACTTACGAGCAATTATGAAAAGGTGAGGTTGATGCCCTGTTTCTTCGTCATAATCACAACTTCCCTTTGTTCTGTAGCAAGACTTATTGATGCAGTCACTCCTTACTGGTTACTGCCGCTGCTGGGAGCTTGATTGCGTACTCCTATTCAGGTGATGGAGATAACTGCTAAGTTTTCAACGCCGTCAAGCTGTCGTGCCTTAATTATTATGGGTTCGCCTTCTGATCAGGCTCACTGCGACAAAATTGCTTCCAGTTGTCGATCGCTCGGAATCAAACCTATCATTCGCGTCAGTTCCGCTCATAAGGTAAACCACTATGCGGGTGTTCTCGACTTATAGTCTGAATTGATGCTATTACAGACGACACATGAAACATTGAACATCGTTGCGGAATACGATGATGATGAAACTCCCACAGTCGTCATTGCTGTTGCTGGTCGTTCAAATGGCTTGGGACCAGTCATAGCTGGGAACTTCACTTTGCCTGTAAGTCTCTGATGCTTTAGTGAACCTGTTTGACAAAGCACAGTTCAGGTAATCAACTGCCCTCCTTTGACTGAAGACAACATGACAAGTGATGTTTGGTCTTCATTGAGGATGCCTTCCGGGCTTGGGTGTTCAACTGTCATTGGCGCTGATGAAGCAGCTCTGTGCGCTGCTAAGGTGAGTTTCCCAGCTACCGAAATAGAAGAATGACATGGGGAAATTGAATTGGTGGAAGCGCGGTTGCGTCTTGCCGAAATTACCATCAGCGCACTGGTCAGTGGTACAAATACCGAGTGAGCACTGTAGAGCTGCTGATACAATGTACCGACTCATCACCGAATTTCTAAATTCTATTCTTAAAACATAGTAATGGACCATCGTTAGGCAGATAAATTTCATTATCATTCGGCACATAGAATAAGGCAAACACACAACGTTAAGGTGATTAAAGATCAATAGGCTTACCACTCTAATATAGAAGAGGATTAGAGGGTGCGTCGAGAAGAGAATGCCTTTCTTGGTAGCTTCCGCCAGATGTCTCCTCGTTGAGTCGATTTTCGAATTCCGTCCGAGATGGCTGTCTCATGCACGGAAACGAAAATTCAGTAAGGCACTCGGCTCTTAGAGTAATCCGGTGCGGCGTAACTTCATTTTAATACGCAAGGTCTCACCCGTCACTTATACGACGCGTCGAAAAGGGGCCTTGGGAAGGACTCGGGCGGGAGGTGAGTAAGCTAGGGGGTTACTGCAAGAGCCGAGTGCCCGTTTTTTTTTTGTTCCTGTGAGTCATGCGGTGAGGGTAATTTACCATAGTCTAATGACAGACAGCATGTGATAGAGTCGCGCCTACATTACTCAATCTGGAATGAATGTGTACCTTCATGATAGCAGTGTGACATGCTTATCCTTATCCCCGACGAGAGTATTTGGAAACATTCCTTATAAGTTAAAGGGGCGTGCTGTTCATGAGCATTGGTGCTAGCGGTTTGTGCAAAGCGTGGTAGATGTGATACCTGTAAGGGTGGCGTTAAAGCTGGTCGCAGTTTACGTCATAATTTGATTTGCTGGAGAATATTTCATGTTCATTTACAACAAGAATTTTCAGCTTTTCGCTTGGCAAGATCACATGGTGTATGGCAGGATCCTTGGCATGCAGCTCAATAACGCTGTAAAAATTGCAGTGAGTAGATGAATTCCTAACCGCTCGATGAAATGCTCTAAGTTTAACAAATGAAACCTACAACGGGTGTTCTTTGGGCACAAGTAATCGGTTTCCATTTTACGTGGGTGTGCTTTCATTGAGTTGTGCATATAGTATAGACAACTTAAGGCAGACAGCCATGTCGTAATCACATCAAAAAGTTCGAGAATACCAATCGTATAGCGGCGTTAAACACTAGAATTTTTTAGCAAAAAGTGCTAAAAAGTAGACCGAATCGTGATTTCAAACTGTAACTTCAAATGGATACAATTTCAGAAAGCTGACAGAAGCAGTGTGTGACGTCATCCGGTGGATTTTTGTACTCAAGGCGTCATCCCGTGGATTTTTGAATTCAACGTTGTTTGTTTTAAATTTGTTATGACATAGCAGTTGATTTTTTGTTGTTATTGAAGATCTAATTTGTTGTTAGTTATATAAAAATATTTGCAATCGTGCACTATTCCTGAATATATGAAAGTACACTGTTTCATTCTAGAATTTGTGGAATCCGAAGAGGGGCCCTCGACAATGACGGCCGGCGAGTAAACTCTTTACTGGCCGATTATTTTCCAGTGTCTGCATCCTTTTTTCAATGTAACTGACATTTCTAGAACATCCGACCCATTGCAAATTGTGCCTCGTAGGTGTTACTTCCATCCCGACCACTATAAGCAGTGTTGGTTTGAAAGACAGGATTTAGGTCCAAATTTTCGAGATCGCCCACCGGAGAGGTACTCTTCAGTCGTGACCTCCTTGCTTCGAAATTATCGTAGCCAGTAACCTACTTAGTCACCACTACATCACGGTCTACACTAGTCTTTACTACAGTAAACTGCATAACTAACAATAAGTCAACAAGGTCATCCAAATCTGGCATATACAGTAGCGCTCGAAAGTCTTCGGCCAAATGTTTCTTCAGTTGTACTTTTCAGTCGTAACTTCTTTCCTACTTGATGTAATCATGCGAAATTTCAATATGTGTAGCATATATTGTGAATATTTACCATTACCAACCTGCAATCCAATCAAGTTCCATATATTCCAAGAGGCTTGGACTCAAAATCAACTAGAAATACGAGTGATGGTCTTTCAGGAATATCTTTCCTTCCTGCCATGTCCAAAGTGTACGAGCGCTAATGCCGTATACCATAGATGAGTAAAATGCACATAAGGTGCCAATAACTGCAGGCGTGGCTAACTTTCAGCAAAGTCTACTACCACAACAAACACCTTCCTCTTATAGGTTAGTTACTTGGATATTGCTACTTCGCTGTCAAATAGTGTTGGATAGTGTGAAATATGTTTATCAAAATCAAAATTTTGCACGGTTTCTCCGCTTAGAAAAAAGTTATGGACGAAAAATCGTAAGAGTGTTTGACCGAAGACTCTTGAGCGCTGCTGTATATTATGCGGCACAATTACCTAACGAGCTTTATTCGGCGGGTGTGGCGAGGACGATACGCCGGAATCGGCACAAATGCACGCATGGGATCGTATAATAATTAGAGCAACATACGAGAAATTTTCATTTTTAGATGGGTGTGATTACCTGTCTTTCTCGAGGTTTGAAACATTTGTATCAATATTTATTACAAATAACGTCCGAACAATGTTCATTACGAGTTTGTACTTTTGAAGTAATGTATTGCATTATAGATAAATGGCATTGCCAAATAAACAGATCAAAAAATACTGACAATATTATCTATCAAGGAAAAGGGAGGAAATACGAAGAACTGACACACACTGAGCTTCTCCCTCGAACGGGTGAATGGGTAAGGAACAACACCCGTACAATCTGTAGCGACTTAATAAAACCACCTACTATGAGAGGATCTTGCACCTCACGGACTGATATTGTTGACTCGTTTTCCTGCTTTCAGCACATATGAAAAGTGAAGGTACTCACATTCTATTGTCAGTGATCCCTTGGTGTGAGACTAGCAAGTAAGCAAGTAAACAACATTAAAATCAAGTCTAACCCATACAAACTTCTATTTTAATATCTAACTCGATGTCTAGATGTCTGCCAAATTCATACTTTTTACGGCTTATGTAACAGAGTGGTTTGCTTAGTTGTCCTCTCCTATTAATGTGCCAACAGAGACGTCCATAGGCTTCTTCATAAGGTCAGGTAAATGAAGCGGTGTTGGCATGGTGGTTCGTTGAAGTGCTCGTAGAGAGGGGATGAAGAGGTTGAACATAACATCTTCACTATGCCCACTACTAGTACGTCCCTCACTTCGAGCCATTGGTCGAAGGTCGGGATTGGGCATAGGTTGTACGTCTCCGCTGACTCGTCTCCATCCTCGCCATACCTTTCTGCGCTCCTCTTTCCTTTTCAGCCGTAAAGGCGGAACTCTAGCGGCTCCTGCTCGAGTTGAAGTCTTATGAATCAGCTGACCAATGTGAAGCATTGGTAACCGATGCGGTCGGAACTGCAATCATGTAGGGTTAATAGATCTCAGTGGTAACTCATTTGAACATTCTCAGTGAAAAGATGAATAATTGAATGAACTCACATCTCCCGGTGTAATCACCACGGTACGCCCATTTTTTATAATGGTGCTTGGTTCAAGAATAGCCGTCGAGTTCTGAAGTACGATCGAGTTAATTTTTTCATAAAAGAAAAAGTCGTTTGCGAGCTCTTCAGAATAATCGCCCTTAGATGTTTTTGCGTTGGCCAATCCATGCAGTGCACCTGCTCAAAGCAAGTTGTACCACAACCAAAGTGTCAGGTCATCGCATAAGTCATTCGTTATTTTTCTAATACCCCATTACTGTAAATACTTGGAAATCAAACAGATCCGTACATAGGATGTAGGATACAATTCCAGCCACCATTCGATGGCATCGGGACATACAGCGTTGTCTACTACTCACACATTGTTATCATAAAACTTATCGATATATGCGAAACGGCGGTGGAAGGAAAAAGAATACAAAAAAACCCCTCAAGACAACTAGAAATATATAAGTTCAGCACGACTCGGTATCATTGTTTTCAGCCTCACTAAGAACGAATACTCCAGATAGAAGTGGTGAACGACTGATTGATGGAAGGTGATTCGAACCTCGGAAAAGGTGTGGAGCGGATAATCTGGTTGACGCTTAGTCCTCATCCGTCCTCTTTCCTCTTCCCTTGACTCTCAATCCAAAAGTGCGCTCTACTGTGCTTCTCTTACTTTTGTCCACCCAATCATTCAGGGATTGTTAGGTTTCCAAGAGATGGAATATTCGAATACAAATAAAATCAGAAGAACTTTTAAAAATTCATGAATTATCTCATTGTATGATAACAAATCCTACTAAAGTACGAGAGCATCCGAGACTTATTACATCGTTGTTGACTATTGCAACATTCAGACAGTAGATGCCGCCTCTGAAAAATCCGGGCTGGGTAAGGTACGACTCTGAAGTTTTGAGGTGTTAATCGACCTCGTCTGAGGGATGCGCTCAGGCATCCAACTTCCATTCAGAATTTTAGTGGCGGATTGGATGCGTATGTGGCCTATACAATGACTTGCGGTGGCCAGCCGATGTATAAGTCAGTGCTTATATTCTCCCAGATGAGTCTGGTACCAATAAGTCGACCCCGGAGGGATGGAGGGACTGGAAGGCTTGGTCGACCTAGGCAGGTATCGGTCCGGGATTCGAGCTCCTGTCCATGTGTTCAAGTGCGCCACTTGCCACTACACGACCTCTGCTAATAATAGGGTTTTCGAACGATTCTTTCCCGCTGGTTGACAATCCGATCCAGATTCCATAGCTGTTGCGCGTAGAGGTTGGCAGTATGTAGCAACAGCCTTCTCGTTTAGCGTTGTCAGTGTACTGGAGTACTTGAAGAAATACATCCCACCATGCTGCTGTATATGTAGTGCTCTCGAGATGGGCATCACTGTGAATCTCTTCTAGCGTTTCTTCTGAATCCAGCCACTACACTTTCCAACAAAAGTTGTTCAAGTGAATGAGTGACAGGCCTGAGGTGTTCTCTCTCTCTCTTCACTCCGAGTCATATCAGACCAGCTTTCTCCACATTCCAAGTTTCTTCAATTCAATTTGAATAGCGGAACCTGAGCTCCAACCATGTCCGCTCATTTTCTCGCAGATTAGAAGAGATCCGTTCTCACCATATGACTTAGCAAACTCAATTTGTGTTCAGATGAGCGTACAGAGCTTTCTTCGTCTTCAGTACGTTTAGTTAGGTGCTCGTTCCGAAGCATTAGTACCAGGGAGAATTGCCTTGTAATTCGGGATTCGATAATATATACCTCCCTTACTTTGGCATAGTCAGCTTGAGAATTTGCGCCGAGGGAATACAGCGTGGGCTTCTGACGGTCTATGAAAAAATCATTCTCCATAGTACAATTTTGGTGAACTGGAAACAATTGAATGCTACTGGTAGAGGCAGTATGATCTTATATGTGTAAGGTTTCCGCTTAGACGCTATTAAATAACCGTCGAGAAGTGGGATAATACTTTTCTGCCAACTTCATAGAATAAAACATTGGAAAGGTCACCAACACGACCAGTAGTCTAGCTTCTATTCAGAACTTGACGACGGGCTAAGAACGAGGTCAAGCATGCTATCGTGAAGCTCGTCCTCTGAAGCACGGCCTTCTCATCAACAAGGGCACTTGNATTTTGGCATAGTCAGCTTGAGAATTTGCACCAGGGGATACAGCGTGATCTGCTGACGGTCTATGAAAAAATCATTCTCCATAGTGCAAACAGGTGAACTAGAAACAATTGAATGCTACTGGTAGAGGCAGTATGATCTTATATGTGTAAGGTTTCCGCTTAGACGCTAATAAATAACCGAGAGCAGAAACTCGAGAAGTGGGATAATACTTTCCTGAAAACTTCATAGAATAAAACATTGGAAAGGCCACCAACACGATCAATGGTCTAGCTTCTATTTCAGAAACTTGACGACGGGCTAAGAACGAGGTCAAGCATGCTATCGTGAAGCTCGTCCTCTGAAGCACGGCCTTCTCATCAACAAGGGCACTTGTTCGACCTTTATCAAACTTATGGTGCTTGAAACATCAGACAGTAGAGCAGGAACTGTTGCGAATAGCTTTTCGCTGAACTGAATACAGCTTCTTACCCAAAATGTTCTGAGAAAAAAGGTGAGTTAAAAAGCGATGGAGTTTTATTTCAAAAAACAACAGAACCCGCCTATAATACAGCGAGGTTAAGAAGTACCACTGATAAAATGTAATGAAATATTGATACCCCTTCATTCGACCAGGTTTCCTATTTCTTCGTTCACGACTTTGAGCGAAGCAACTACCATAAACGGGATGGATTCAAACGGAATAGACTAGCATTCGTAGAGATTGCTCACCGAGTGTCTTTGCCGCAAGACTGCGGAATGGGTAGTGAAGAACGTCTCCCTTTTTCTCCTCCGAAATTACTTGGGAAAATGGGAACATGATTAGGGGAGTACTTTTTGGACCCTCGGACTTCGGTACTCAATAGAAAGTAATGCACCCGTGCTCTTTGTTCTCAAATTATTAATACATTTGGCTCCCAGGCTTCCACTCACACTTATCAGAATTTGTGTTTCACCTGCAGGGTAGTGACTTGGAAGGAGTACTACTGATGACTTCTATTTGTTGCAGAGATTAATTTATACGCTGCGAATTTTTGTAGCACATCATCCACCTTATCCAAAAAACATGTTCCTATAAATCGAGCAAGGTGATAAACACAGAACAACAGTGACGAGCTCTGCTCTTCGGTGCTAGCGCTTATACTATGAGCCGTTTCCTTGGTATGGGTCGGAGTGCGCCACTTCGGTCACTTCGAAAAAGACAGTCCACACGAACGGCGGATGATGAAAAGATGATCAGAACCAAAGTCAAACATTGAATTAGAGGATTCCGTCAAAGAGATTCTCTGATTTTCCTCTAGAAAACGACTGTCTACCTATTCAGCTTCTGGAAAACGTCAACCGGAAGTGGTAGAAAGAAATGGAGTGAACAATTGCCGAAAGCCAAGCTTCCATAGAACTCGAGAATATCTTGAACTTTTCCTCACTTTGCTTCTGATACCGAAATGCAAACGTAACCTTTGCTGCAATCCAGCACTAGTCGAAGGGAGGGAATGTTCCAATGATTGGATAGATTTGACCCCCTTTGTTTACATGACTATGTTTTTGAGTTGAAATTTCCTATTCCAGGAGAATTCCAGTTATACTTTAGTCCAGCTGTGAAATTATTAACGGCAGCGACTATAACAACGAGATTTACTATTTTTTTCCCAAAAGCAAAACAAAATTGTTGAGAGTGCTTGGGGAAATAAATGTGCAGACATCGTTCAAGATGAATAAAAGACGTTTCTGCAACATCCTCACTATCAGAACAGTTTTTTTTTCTTGCAATCTTCTCAAAAGCCCTTTGTCACTATTTTGGGAATGGATATCATCTATTTTTAAGTAATCTTTACCGAACTCTGGCCCTCACAAGAGGTATTCTTTAATTTATCCTGGATTGACAGATTTGATATGCAAGATGTTAACATGTTTTCAAGTGAATCCTTTTTGGCTCTTGTAGCTCTTAAACTTTGTTGGCGTCAGAAGCCAAAGCCACCGGATTTTTTTAAAGGCCTCAACTTCATCTCGGTCATTCATCTTACTTGGCTCTATTTCGAATACGGAACAAATTAAAATTAATAGCCACTGACCATGTTTAAAGGATCATGAAGTGTTCCGGGTCCGCGGAATTGCTTTGAGTAGAGGTACCAACTCAGTGAAGGTTCCTGTAAAATTTGAAGTGTTTCGAACAATCTCGACAACAACACTGAATCATATCAAGAATTGCCAACAGGATGCGTTAAGGCAGATTGCTTACTTTACAGCTATTTCCTTTCTTTACTTGTTTTTCAGATGTGAAGTCGCTAACGACTGAAACGACACGGAGTAAGGCTACCTAGACTTCTTCAACAGGTTTTGGCATCTCTTCGCCTTCATACTTATGTACGGTTCTAGTTTGATGATGGGTCAAAATCATTTCATTTTTGAAAGAATTAGGTCAACTTTGAAATTTTTGTTTTCTGAATGAAATGTCAGTAATTCCCACACTACAAGTACAGCCAACACAGGAATTCTGTAGCTCAAGTGCTATTTTCAGAAGCGTACAATTTGCCGGAAAGGGAAATCGACGGAACGAAACCCTGCCTATTATCACTCGCCAATGTTTTCGCATTGCAACAAGAATTACAAAGTGTTTTGATTTGTGCATTGATTCATGATTGACCAGATATTAGGTTGTAAGGAAAGTTCTGGCCGTTTTGTCAGCTAACTTTCAAAAAGTTATAACTCATTTCAGAGTGAACATTTTTTTTTGAAATAAGCCCCGTTCGATTCCACACATTTTCGCCAACGTGATACACGTCTGCTTATCCCATTCTTTTAAAAGTCCGGATATCTGGATTCCAAGATTTCGAGAAAGGCAGCTTCCACGTCGCCTTGATTTCTGAATACTCGTTCCTTTAAGAAGCTGCCCAGATGTTCGAACAAATGGTAGTCAGTTGGTGACAGGTCTGATGAGTAGAA